CAAGACTAAGCAGTCTGGGAAGACTGTGACAGATTATTACACAGAGTTGAAGATTTCGTGGGAGGAACTAGAAAGCATGACTAGCTTACGTCCTATTACCACCATCAGTGAGGAGATCTGCATTCATCACTACCTTAAACAGGCATCAAGATGAGCAGAAACTCTTCCAGTTTTTGAATGGACTGGATGATAGTTACAGTCAACAAAGGAGTCATTTTCTTATGCAAACACCATTACCCAATGTAGACTCAGCATGCAACACACTACATCAAGAAGAAAATCAAAGGGCAATCTTGAAGGCTGTGAAAGAAGAGAGTGAGCCCTTGGCATTGTTCAGCAAAAGAAGTGAAGGTGTGACAGGAGAGGTTGCCTGTACTCAATGTGGTAAAGGTGGCCATGTGAGAGAAAAGTGCTGGTATCTGAAAGGATTCCCTGGACATCCAAAATCTCAAAAAGACTCTAGAGTAAACAACAATAGAGGTGGCTTCACAGGTGGATATAGAGATGGTAGAGGTAATAGAGGAAGAAGAACTGGTAGAGGTGGTAGAACAACTGCAAATGTGAACACAGAAACTGGGAGCACTAGCAGTAACACTTCTGCTTTGCCATTCAATGCTAGTCAGCTGGAACAGTTAGTGAAGATGTGGCCCAGTGTGGGAAAATCAGCTGGAACAAGTCAAGAAGAGGAAGATGAACAAGAGTTCACATATGCAAGCATGGTCAGCTGTCACTATGCAAATGCAGCAAGCATATATAACCTGGATAATTGATTCAGGAGCATTAGATCATATGACAGGAAACTTTGAGATATTAGAGGATGCAGAGAAGTGCAGAAGTGAAGCAAAGATTTACTTACCTACAGGGCACACATCAGGAATCACTCATAAAGGGCTTGTAAGCCTAGAAAATGGGCTAAAGCTCAAGGATGTACTCCATGTGGCAGTTTTTAAGCACAACTTGCTGTCTATTCAGAAGTTAGTAGAAAATGAATTGTGTAAAGTGGATTTTCATGCTCATTACTGTGAGATACAAGACAAGAAAAGTGGAGAAATAAGAGGAATAGGAAAGGCAGAAAATGGACTGTATTATTTGATAAATGACTCAATGAAGAGTATAGGCAAGAAGCTTGCTGAAATGAAGAAATTAAGTGGAAAAGTTGCTTTGAATACAACCTCAACAGTTACCATCCCAGGGACTGAAAAAATGTGAGCAAGCTGATCATTACAACCTTGTGGCACTAGAGGCTGGGGCATGCACCTATGACTAAGATAAAAAAGATAGAAGAGCTGAAAGAGATTGATAACAAGTGTGAAGACATCTGCATGACATGTCCTGCTGCAAAGTTCACAAAACTACCCTATACTTTGAGCAGTTCAAGAGCAAAACATGCCTTAGAGTTAATACATATAGACATCTGGGGAGCCTTTAGAGTGACCAACATATACAATCAGAGGTACTTCCTCACCATTGTAGATGACTACTCAAGAGTTACATGGGTGAAGCTGCTAAAAGAAAAATCCCAAGCTTTTAGTGCTGTTGAAGAGTTTGTTTGTATGGGAAAGACTCGATATGGAAAGGAAGTGAAGACCATAATATCTGATAATGCATTAGAGTTTGATGATGCAAGCTGCAGGGAATTTTTTTGCAAAATGGGGATCATTCACCAGACAAGCTGTGTGGACAGACCACAACAAAATGGAAGAGCTGAAAGAAAGAACAGGAACATCTTGGAAATGGCTAGGGTTCTCAAAATACAAGCTGGAGTTCCCTTGCAGTACTGGGGTGATAGTGTTCAAGCTGTTGTATACATAATCAAAAGATTAATCATACCTCTCTTGAGCCACAAAAGTCCTTATGAGGTACTTACTAACACTAAACCAGTCTATGATCATATGAAAATTTTTGGTTGTTTGGCTATGGCAAGTAACCTATGTAGAAATGTAGACAAATTTAGTCTGAGAGGTGTACCTTGCATGTTTTTAGGATATCCCCTAAATAAAAAAGGCTACAGACTGTTGAATTTAGCGAAAAACAAAATTTTTGTAAGTAGGGATGTGAAGTTTTATGAGTCAATTTGCCCTTACAAACTATTCTACCCTAATAATAAATTTCAATATGAGGTTGTAAACAATACTGGAATAAACATATACAATAGAGGAATAGAAGAAAATGGAGTAGAAACAGTGGAAATTGATGAGGAAATTAAACCAGATAAGGAAGAAGAAATGGAACAGAATGTTAATCAGCCTGAAACTGATCAAACTGATCACACTCTGAGAAGTGAAGAAGAACTAGAAATCATGTTCCACCCAATTGGCACAAGGATTATGTGATGGGAATAATCTCATCAAATTATTGTCTGAAATCTGTCCCAGAAAAGATAGAGACCATTGCTGCTGTCCCAACTAGCAACACTTTCTCTGTTTTTATGTCAGAGGTCACAAAAATGGTTGAACCTAAATCATTTAAATAAGCTGTAAGAAGAAAGAAATGGGTACAAGCAATGAATGAAGAACTAGAAGCCCTAAAGAATAATGACACCTGGGATATAACTGATCTTCCAAAAGGTAAAAAGGCAATAGGTTGTAAATGGTTATAGAAAACCAAATACAAACCTAATGGAGAAAAAGAGAGAGATAAATCAAGACTTGTTTTCCTAGGAAATAAGCAAATATATGGAGTGGACTATGATCAAACATTTGCTCCTGTAGCAAAAATGACCACCGTGAGGTCACTTCTTGCTATTGCTGCTCTTGAAGGCTGGATTGTGCATCAAGTGGATGTTAAAAATGCTTTTTTGCATGGTGAATTGCAGGAAGATGTGTATATGAAGCTTCCACAAGGATACACTGGAATTGGAAGCATAATTGAAGTTCAAGGAGAGGGGGAGCAAGCTGATCTAAGGACTGACAAAGTCTGTAAGCTGAAGAAATCTCTGTATGGGCTTAAGCAAGCTCCAAGACAAGGGTTTGCAAGACTAAGTGGTGTCTTGAAGAGCAATATGTTCACTCAGTCAAAGTCTGACTACTCATTTTTGAAGAAAAAAGGAGGAAGCTTTACAGTTGTCCTGGTATATGTAGATGACTTTATTGTTGCAGGAAATGACATGGAAGAAATTGTTGAAACAAAGTTGTTCATTGTATCTCAATTTCACATGAAAGATATGGGTGAATTGAGATACTTTCCTGGGATTGAAGTTGACAGAAGTGAACAAGGAATGTTCCTGTCTCAAAGAAAGTATGTTGTTGACATCCTGGAAGAATATGATATGGTAAATGTGAGGCCTCTTAAGCTTCCCATGGATCCACACCTAAAATTAACAGCTGAAGGTGGGAGCATTCTAAGGGATCCTGAGCCATATCAAAAGCTAGTGGGAAAACTCATATATCTCACAATCACAAGGCCTGACATTTCTCTTACAGTTCACGTGCTGAGCAAGTTCATGCATAAACCAACTGACATTCATTTGCAGTGTGCAAAAAGAGTGCTCAGATACCTGTCAGGTTCAACACAGCAAGGAATTTTTCTTGCATCCAAAGGAAGTGCTGAATTAAAGGCTTATTGTGATAGTGATTGAGCAGGATGCCAGAGCATCAGAAGATCAACATCAGGATTTTGAATTTTACTTGGTAAATCCCCAGTTTCTTGGAAATCAAAGAGACAATCTGTAGTTGCAAGAAGCACAACAGAAGCTGAATACAGATCTATGGCCCTGACTGTGTGTGAAGTGATGTGGGTGAAGCAACTGCTGAAAGATTTGGGAATGACAAAACTGGGAACAACATTAGTGTACTGTGACAATCTGGCTGCCTTAGCAATAGCAGCTAACCCAGTGCATCATGAAAAAACAAAATATGTTGACATTGACTGCCATTTCATTAGAGACAAGTCAAGTGAAAGGGTCGTTGCTCCTACCTATGTTCACAGCTCTCAGCAAATTGCAGACATGTTCACTAAGATCTTGTCTGTTGAACAAATGAATCAGCTCATGACCAAGCTTGGAGTTCAGTCTCATTCCTCACTCTAAGCTTAAGGGGGAGTGATGAAATAGAGAGTAGTACTGATATATTGCAGTAGCTATAATATGTTATTTTGTATGTTAGTTCTGTCATGTGCTTCAGTATTTGTTATTTAGTGTTATGAGCTGTAATCTTCATAGTGGTGCTTTTATGCCAATTCCCTAGGTTAGTATGGTGGGCTGTCATATATAAGGCAGAGAGAATGTTTCATTTGTAGCAGTCATTCAGAAATCAACACAAAAGTATATGCAATGAAAAAGATCCTGCTTGAAATGATATTTGCTGCTTTTCTTCATTTGATAAATCAAAGTTCGTGCCTTTTTGTTTGTCACCAGGCAGCAACAACACTTCAAGTCATTTGGTGCAATTAGTCAATCTTGAAAACTGTCATTGCCTTGTGTACTCTCCCCTGCCTTCACCTTGAATAGATCTATCAGGACTATCATGAAGTGATTGGAAATTAAAATGGACTTAAAAGTATAGCAGCAGCAAAATACTGAGAAACAGCAACAAAGAAAAGACAGCAGGACAAGGGGGGAAAAAGCCACAATCATATATCATCTTTATCTTTTTTCCTTTTGAACAGATGGCAATAACCATCATCTTTGAGATAACTGCATCAGTACGTACTGACTGTTAATGCATGGTACAAAATAAAATCACACAACCAAATGAGTCATTGTTCTTTTTCTCATTTCTACAACTCTGTTCATAGGCGACCTGTTCGAGGGATATGGTTGTATGCACCATAAGCTCACCAAAAGCTGAAAATCAGCAACATAAAGAGAAGCACAAAATAAGACAGTAAGACTGACCCCCCCCCCCCCCCCCAAAAAAAAAGGAAGCATGATCACATATCATCTCTATCTCTTTTTTTCCTTTAAAACAAACGACAATAACCATAATCTTTGAGATAACTGCATCAGTAAATTAAAACAGTATTGATTAGTCGTTAATGCTGCTACAAAATTAAATCCCACAGCCAAATGATTCATTGTTCTTTTTCTTATTTATGTTATACTTTCGGCAGTCATAGAATTTTTCAATAAAAGTTTACAACAGATTCGTGAACCTAAACTGTACATCATCAACATGCTTCTGACATTTCTCATCTGATGGTGATAGACAGCCTTAATATAACATACGGAATATAAGCAAAAAACAGAACTTATGTGGTGCTCATAAGCGACGCATCAAACACACATCTTGCAGGAGAAGATGAATGTGGCTTAGGCGGCATTTGTAGCACCTCAAATGGCCCTTCCAACATCTCTACAACTCTATTCATTGGCGGTCTGTTTGAAGGATATGCTTGTATGCACCATAAGCTAACCAAAATCATTTTTCTCTCTAACTCGTTTTTGTCATTATCCTCAATCCCATCAACTGCAGCTTCATGCACAGGCTCAAATCGACTGTATATCCATTCGGGAAAGTACAGTTCACTATTGTCATGCTGAACTTCATTAGTTGGAATTTTCCTGCCACAAACTAGGTCTATGAGCATCATCCCGTAGCTATAAACATCTGATTTATGGGAAATGCCACCAAAATTTCTACAAAAAACTTCTGGAGCAATATATCCAATTGTCCCCCTTGCTTCCGACATTGAAATCATACTTTTCTTTGGTGGACACAATTGAGCAAGGCCAAAGTCAGAAATCTTTGGATGAAATTCATCATCAAGCAGAATATTATGAGGCTTAATGTCAAAGTGCAATATTCGTGTATTACAACCTCTATGTAGGTAGTCTAGTCCCCGAGAAATTCCAATCGCAATGCTTAATATAGTTTCCCATTGCAATGACTGTCTAATCTCTTTACCATATATAAACTTTTCAAGAGATCCATTAGGCAAGAACTCAAAGACAAGAGCTCTCCTGTTTCCTTCGAAACAAAATCCTAAAAGAGTCACGACATTGACATGATTAGTCCTGCTAATGCTCAATATCTCATTGATGAAATCTTTTCCATCACCCTTTAAAACCTTCAATTTCTTCACTGCCACGAAACGACCATTGTGTAGTCTTCCTTTGTAAACACTTCCATAACCTCCTTCACCAAGTTTATCTTTGAAGGAATTGGTTATTTTCTTTATGTCTGCATATGTGTATCTTTTTGGCGCGAGAGATCCATAACTTTGTAAAAAGGCCGCCACATTTTGATTCCCTATTGTTCGTCTACTCCATAGAAATGAAAATTTACTGGTTTTCCGTCTTTTCTTTGCAATGATGACCAAAGCAACCACCATCATCATCCCTAGGACTGAAGCAGCTACACCTGTAGAACAATAATCATATAAAAGTTTCCTCAATTTTGAATCCCTTATTCCCTTTCTTACAAACACTTGCTACAGAATTTATATTGGTACAAAGAGAATTGTATGTACAATACCTGATCCTAAGATTAAATTTCGTCTTCCACCTGCACAAAGAAGACTTGTAGACATTAGTCCGTGCTTAAGCATTAATCCTTGAGTGATGCTAGTTTTTTGCTACGTCTATAAATATAAATACAAATTCTTCATTTTCATATACAAATTAATTTCTTTCTTGAATCCTTAATAGTGCTACAAGTAAAAAAGAATTCACCAAGCAGAGTTATCAAAGAGAGTAATAAGCCTATGATAAACGAGCCTGGGCCACACCCACTACGAGTATGCATTTTACAAGTCCAAGGAGGTTCCACCTCAAAATCGGCAATAAGGGGAGTAATCCCTTAGCCTTATAAAGTGGACACAACTTTCTTTTCTTCAATATGGAATACACATCTTAATACTCCTTTTCACTTTTACACTCTTTCAATGTGGCACAACACTTTTACTCACATGTGGGTTTGTTCATGGGTTCAACAACCTATCATTTGTAACCTCTTTTGGCATTATCAATCAAATTAAATTTCCAACCTTTCATCTTAAATTTTCCACTTATTCATTAGAATATACAAACCAGATTTACAGTCTAATACAACTTGATGGCCTATTACATTGTCGAGGAATACTATTGTAATTTGAAAGTTTATTTTATCAGATGATTTTAAAAGGAAAACTATTGAAATGTAAATGAACCTAATATATATATATATATATATATATATATATATATATATATATATCAACAATTTTACCTTTCTATTGAGTTATCTCCAATGACCAAACATGCTATTATGCTAACCTTAAAAATATTATTACCAAAAGCAGTTAGTAATTGCTTGCAGTCATGATAATCACTTGACAATCAATACTCTAATAACTTCCATCATAAAAATCAACTTGAACGAGTTGACCTCAAAGACTTTTGAAAATTATTTGTCAATGTGATCTGTTGTAATAAAGATAAGGCTGGTTAGCTATTCCAAAATTAAAAGGCAAAGTAATGAATTAGCACCTGGTTCAGAACATATTAATGCCCGACGCCCATCTCGGCAATAACAAACCAACTGATCTGAAAAGAATTCCTCTGATGATCCACATCTGCCACCAGACTCCTCACACTTGGAACAGGCAGCAACGTTCGCCATGTAATTCCACTTAACGATTGACCACTTGTTTAAGACACTACGAAGCGAGGCATCCGTGCTACGACTGAGCTCATATACCGCTTTGTTATCCACATAAAAAGTTGCACTGTAATTGCACGAGCATGACGAGTTATTAAAGCTGCTAATGCCTGATGCGTTGTCAAAGTAATAAGCAGTACCATTGACACCATCATCGTTGGAGCAAGAAAAAGTCTTGGAGTCATTTCTGGAGTCACAACTGCTATTGCAACCATAGAATAAACTTATATTTCTGTAATCTATGTTTTGGCTTAGCTTTAAAGTGGGTAGAATGGCTGAAGAGCTTGTATCTTGCAAATAACACTTGTTATAAAGGTTACTTGAGGAAATAGTGATGGTATGGAGAGATGTGTTGATGTCAAGCACTTGTAATATACTTGAGGAAATTTTCATAGTAGGAAATGAAGAATCATTATTACAGCTTAGCTTGAATTCTGGGACTCCACAGAAGCTGGGCCTATTATCTCCCCAAAATGGATACCCGACATTTAGGATTCGCCCACACGAGTATGAAAGAGAGCATGCTGCATATAGTGGACTCTGAGAATTTGACAAGGGAACAACAGCTAACAACAAGAAAATACAGGTTATGAAAGGAAACTGTATGCTTATAAAACCATTAGAGATCATTTTTTGATAAAAACAACCAAGCTTTTCTTGTAATAAGATTAGAATAGTAGAGAAGAAAAATAAATGTGATACTTTAACGAAGTAAGGCTAGGATTATATGACTTTGAATCATCAAGAAGACTTGGTCTTACTTGGACCAAAGACTTGGTCTTACTTGGACCAAAGACTTTATTAGTACTACAGTAGTTGCCAGAAAAAAAAAAGCTAAGACTTTAGCCAAGTAATCACTCTTTCCCTTATTTTTTTTGCCCTACTTTCCTTTTTAGTACGTCTCTTTATTTTTGCTCCATTCTATTTTTGGACATATGAGACCACACCTTTACTATCACAATCACCCTATAAACCCCGGGCTTGCCCCAGTTCGTCAACATGAGAAACAACAATGTTTCTCAACATGGCAAAATGATAAATAAGAGAAAACTTATAAATACTTTAATATTTTTTTGTGGCTGACTCTTCATCTTTCTCCTCCTTCAACCTTTTCCATCATCAAAGACAAACGAATTACAACACCATAACAAACACCATGTCCACCACCACCAACATCATGCCTAGAACCTTCGACACAACAAAAAAATAAACCCATCTCCGGCGGCGAACTAAAGAAAACCTTAAGAAAAATATATAAATTTAGGACCTGGTTAACCTTACATGGTAGGTTTTTGTTATTGTTTGTAAGCTTTCCGTCCATTGTTAAAGAATTCTTCGATCTCCAATCTTCTATTGTTGAATCAACTATATTGTTGGAGGAGAGAGAGCAGTGAGTATGGGGTTTTTGTTTTGCTAAAATGTTGAGAAACTTGTATTTAGCCATTAACCCCACCACTTTTCTCTCTCATCATTTTTTTCAAACCAAATATTAATAAACTAACATTATCTTTGTGGAGCAAAAAATAAGGGACGGGGAGAGTACTCTGTAACATGTTGTGAATGAATAGTGCTTGGGTCACTACGACCCTTTCCCTTAAGAATCCACTAAGGTATATACTAAATTGCCCTTAAATTGACATCTGACTTCAAAGTTATTGCTACGGATTCCCTATAAATGCCAAATGGTCACATTGATGCAATATTTTCAGGTTTTTTTACTCTAATCACTTAGGCTATTCTCTCCTAATTTTCGACCTGATATCATAGCCTGAACGTTAGAAAGGGTTTCTCAGGAACACCCTTGATCCAGCTCACCTTGTTAGTTTGCAGGCGAACAATCGTTTGGATTTAAATTTGCAGACAACTTTTGGAACACGAATCCAAATACTATCAATCATCATTCTTTACCGGTAACATTGTTTTTATAAGAAACAAATTATGTGCCTGTTAACATGAATGTACTAAGCAGTACATTTTACGTAGCTATCCAAAAGAGCTAGGTAATAAAGTACGCACCTGATTGAGAACACGCTTATGGTTGCTCCATGCCTCCACCTAGGCCTATAACAAGCAAACTGTACAAATTATAGATGCCCTGATGATTCCCAGTTGCCTCAGACACCTCACACTTGGAAAATGATATGTTGTGAAGTTCGCTATATCCTTGGAGACTTTGGACACTCATAAGCGAGGCTTTTGTGCTTCAAGCTCGCTCACCCCACTCTCATCCAAAATCTCAAAAAGACTCTAGAGTAAACAACAATAGAGGTGGCTTCACAAGTGGATATAGAGATGGTAGAGGTAATAGAGGAGGAAGAACTGGTGGAGGTGGTAGAACAGCTGCAAATGTGTAGACATAAACTTGGAGCACTAGCAGTAACACTTCTTCTTTGCCATTCAATGCTAGTCAGCTGGAACAGTTAGTGAAGATGTGGCCCAGTGTGGGAAAAAAATCAGCTGGAACAAGTCACGAAGAGGAAGATGAACAAGAGTTCACATATGCAGGCATGGTCTGTCACTATGCAAATGCAGCAAGCACAACTTGGATAATTGATTCAGGAGCATCAGATCATATGACAGGAAACTTTGAGATATTAGAGAATGCAGAAAAGTGCAGAAGTGAACCAAAGATTTACTTGCCTACAGGGCACACATCAGGAATCACTCATAAAGGGCTTGTAAGCCTAAAAAATGGGCTAAAGCTCAAGGATGTACTCTATGTGCCAGTTTTTAAGCACAACTTGCTGTCTGTTCAGAAGTTGGTAGAAAATGAATTGTGCAAAGTGGATTTTCATGCTCATAACTGTGTGATATAAGACAAGAAAAGTGGAAAAATAAGAGGAATAGGAAAGGAAGAAAATGGATTGTACTATCTGATAAATGAGTCAATGAAGAGTATAGGCAAGAAGCTTGCTAAAATGAAGAAATTAAGTGGAAAAGTTGCTTTGAATACAACCTCAACAGTCACCATCCCAGGGACTGAAAAATGTGAGCAAGCAGAGCATTCCAACCTTGTGGCACCAGAGGCTGGGACATGCACCTATGACTAAGATAAAAATGATAGAAGAGCTGAAAGGGATTGATAACAAGTGTGAAGACATCTGCATGCTGCAAAGTTCACAAAACTGCCTTACACTCTAGGCAGTTCAAGAGCAAAACATGCCTTTGATTTAATACATATAGACATTCGGGGAGCCTTTAGAGTGCCGAGCAAATACAATCAGAGATACTTCCTCACCATTGTAGATGACTACTCTAGGGTCACATGGGTGAAGCTGCTAAAGAAAAATCCTAAGCTTTTTGTGCTGTAGAAGAGTTTGTTTGTATGGGAATGACTCGGTATGGAAAGGAAGTGAATACCATAATATCTGATAATACATACATTAGAGTTTTATGATGCAAGCAGCAGGGAATTTTTTTGCAAAATGGGGATCATTCACCAGACAAGCTGTGTGGACAGACCATAGCAAAATGGAAGAGCTGAAAGAAAGCACAGGAACATCTTGGAAATGGCTAGGGTTCTCAGAATACAAGCTGGAGTTCCCTTGTAATACTCGGGTGATAGTGTTCAAGCTGCTGTATAATAATCAACAGACTCCTCACACTTCTCTTGAGCCACAAGAGTCCTTATGAGGTACTTACTAACACTAAACCAGTCTATGATCATATGAAAGTTTTTGGTTATTTGGCTATGGCAAGTAACCCAAGTAGAAATGTAGACAATTTTAGTCTGAGAGGTGTACCTTGCATGTTTTTAGAATATCCCCTAAATAAAAAAGGCTACATACTATTGAATTTAGCTTAAAACAAAATTTTTGTAAGTAGGGATGTGAAGTTTTATGAGACAATTTGCCCTTACAAACTGTTCTACCCTAATAGTAAAACTCAATCTGAGGTTGTAAACAATACTGGAATAAACATAGACAATAGAGGAATAGAAGAAAATGGAGTAGAAACAGTGGAAATTGAACCACATGAGGAAGAAGAAATGGAACAAAATGTTGATCAGCCTGATCAAATTGATCACATTCTGAGAAGTGAAGAAGAACCAGTAAGAAGAAGCAATAGAAATCATGTGCCACCCAATTGGCACAAGGATTATGTGATGGGGAAAATCTCATCAAATTATTGTCTGAAATCTATCTCAGAAAATATAGAGACCATTGTTGTTGTCCCAACTAGCAACACTTTCTCTGTTTTTATGTCAGAGGTCACAAAAATGGTTGAACCTAAATCATTTAAACAAGCTGCAAGAGGAAAGGAATGGGTACAAGCAATGAATGAAGAACTAGCTAGAAGCCCTAGAGAATAATGACACCTGGGATATAACTGATCTTCCAAAAGGTAAAAAGGCAATAGGTTGTAAATGGTTATACAAAACCAAATACAAACCTAATGGAGAAAAAGAGAGAGATAAATCAAGACTTGTTGTCCTAGGAAACAAGCAAATATATGGAGTGGACTATGATCAAACATTTGCTCCTGTAGCAAAAATGACCACTGTGAGGTCACTTCTTGCTGTTGCTGCTCTTGAAGACTGGATTGTGCATCAAATGGATGTTAAAAGTGCTTTTTTGCATGGTGAATTCCAGGAAGATGTGTATATGAAGCTTCCAAAAGGATACACTGGAATTGGAAGCAGAATTGAAGTTCAAGGAGAGGGGGAGCAAGCTGATCTAAGGACTGACAAAGTCTGTAAGCTGAATTAATCTCTGTATGGGCTTAAGCAAGCTCCAAGACAATGGTTTGCAAGACTAAGTGGTGTCTTGAAGAGCAATATGTTCACTCAGTCAAAGTCTGACTACTCATTGTTTTTGAAGAAAAAAGGAGGAAGCTTTAATTTACAGTTGTCCAGGTTTATGTAGATGACTTGATTGTTGCAGGAAATGACATGGAAGAAATTTTTGAAACAAAGTTGTTCCTTACATCTCAATTTCACATGAAAGATATGGGTGAATTGAGATACTTTCTTGGAATTGAAGTTGACAGAAGTGAACAAGGAATGTTCTTGTCTCAAAGAAAGTATGTTGCTGACATCCTAGAAGAATATGATATGGTAAATTTGAGGCCTCTTAAGCTTCCCATGGATCCACACCTAAAATTAACAGCTGAAGGTGGGAGCATTCTAAGGGATCCTGAGCCATATCAAAAGCTAGTGGAAAAACTCATATATCGCACAATCACAAGGCCTGACATTTCTTTTACAGTTCATGTGCTGAGCAAGTTCATGCATAAACCAACTTACATTCATTTGCAGTGTGCAAAAAGAGTGCTCAGATACCTGTCAGGTTCAACACAACAAGGAATTCTAGCTTCTTATATCCAAAGGAAGTGCTGAATTAAAGGCTTATTGTGATAGTGATTGGGCAGGATGACAGAGCACCAGAAGATCAACATCAGGATTTTGCATTTTACTTGGTAAATCCCCAATTTCTTGGAAAATAAAGAGACAACCTGTAGTTGCAAGAAGCACAGCAAAAGCTGAATACAGATCTATGGCCCTGACTGTGAGTGAAGCAACTACTGAAAGATTTGGGAATGACAAAACTGGGAACAACATCAGTGTGCTGTGATAATTAGGCTGCCTTAGCAATAGCAGCTAACCCATTGCATCATGAAAAACAAAACATGTTGACATTGAGTGCCATTTCATTAGAGACAAGTCAAGTGAAGGGGTCATTACTCCTACCTATGTTCACATCTCTCAGCAAATTGCAGACATGTTCACTAAGATCTTGTCTATTGAACAAATGAATCAACTCATGATCAAGCTTGGAGTTCAGTCTCATTCCTCACTCTAAGCTTGAGGGGGAGTGATGAAATAGAGAGTAGTAGTTATATATTGCAGTAGCTATAATATGTTATTTTGTCCGTTAGTTCTGTCATGTGCTTCAGTATTTGTTATTTAGTCTTATGAGTTGTAATCTTCCTAGTGGTGCTTTTATGCCAATTCCCTAGGTTAGTATGGTGGGAGTCATATATAAGGCAGAGAGAATGTTTGTAGCAGTCATTCAGAATTCAACACAAAAATCTGCAATGAAAAAGATCCTGCTTGAAATGATATTTGCTGTTGTTCTTCATTTGATCAATTAAAGTTCGTGCCTTTTTGTTTGTCATCAGGCAGCAACAGAACTTTTAGTCGTTTGGTGCAATTAGTCAATCTTGAAAACTGTCATCCCCTTGTGTACTCTCCCCTGCCTTCACCTTGAATAGATCTATCAGGACTATCATGAAGTGATTGGAAATTGAAATGGACTTAAAAGTATAGCAGCAGCAAAAATACTGAGAAACAGCAACAAAGAAAAGACAGCAGGACATGGGGGAAAAAAGCCAGAATCATATATCATCTTTATCTTTTTTCCTTTTGAACGGATGGCAAAAACCATCATCTTTGAGATAACTGCATCAGTAGGTACTGACTGTTAATGCATGGTACAAAATAAAATCACACAACCAAATGATTCATTGTTCTGCTTCTGATAATTGGTATACTTTCAGCATCATAGAATTACAATAAAAGTTTAAAACAGATTACTACACCTAAACACAACATCATTAACATGCTTCTGACATTTCTCATCTGATAGACATCCTTAATATGACGAATTGAACATAAGTGAAAACTGAAATTATGTTGTGCTCATTAGCGAGGCATCAAACACAAATTCTGAATGCGGAGGTGAATGTGGCTTAGGTGGCATTTGTAGTGACTCAAATGGCCCTTCCAACATTTCTACGAATGTGTTCATAGGCGGCCTGTTCGAGGGATATGGCCGTATGCACCATAAGCTCACCAAAATCATTTTCCTCTCTAACACTTTTTTGCCATCGCCCATAACCTCATCAACAGCAGCTTTCTCCATAGGCTCAAGTTGATTGTATATCCATTCGGGAAAGTATAGTTCACTGCTGTACTGAACTTCATTAGTCGGATTATTCCTACCACAAACTAGGTCGATGAGCATCATCCCATAGCTATAAACATCTGATTTATGGGAAATGCCACCAAAATTTCTACAAAAAACTTCTGGAGCAATGTACCCAATTGTCCCTTTTGCTTCTGACATTGATATCATACTTTTCTTTGGTGGACACAATCGAGCAAGGCCAAAGTCAGAAATCTTTGGGTGAAATTCTTCATCAAGTAGAATATTATGTGGCTCAATACCTCATTAATGAAATCTTTTCCATCACCCTTTGAAACTTTCAATTTCTTCACTGCAACGAAACGGCCATTGTGTAGTCTTCCTTTGTAAACACTTTCATGACCTCTTTCACCCAATTTATCTCTGAAGGAATTAGTTATTTTCTTTACGTCTGTGTATGTGTATCTTTTTGGCGCAAGAGATCCATAACTTTGTAAAAAGGCCACTACATTTTGATCCCCTATTGTTCGTCTACTCCATAGAAATGAAAATTTACTGGTTTTCCATCTTTTAATTGCAAAGATGATCAAAGCAACCAACATCATTGTCCCTAGTAATGAAGCAGCTGCAGCTAGTACATATAGAGCAACAAAATAGAGAAGTTTCCACAATTTCAAATTCCTCTTTCTCTCTATTACAAATAATATCTACTGATAATTATATTGGTAACAAATTAACAACTAACAAGTACATGTCAAAGAGAATTGTATGTATAATACCAAATCCAAAGAGTAATTTTTTTCGTCCACCTGCACGAGGGAATAACTTGTAGACATTAATTTATGCTTAAGCAGCCGTCCTTGAGCCAATGCTAACATTTGCAATGTCTATATATTTATATATATATATATATATATATATATATATATATATATATATATACACGAAGTCTTATACAACTTACGAGTAAAAATATGCTAAACTCAAATAATACTACCAAAAGCAGTTAGAGCCATGATAATCACTTAACAATTAGTAACAAAAATCAACTTGAATGAGTAATCTAAAATTAAAAAGCCAAGCAATGAATTATGCACCTGATTTAGAACGTCCTAATGGATGTGGCCCTTCTCGGCAAAAACAAATGAACTGATCCTCTGCTGATCCGCATCTGCCGCCAGATTTCTCACACACGGAACAGGCAGTGAAGTTCACATTGTACTCCACCCTAATATACGACCACCTCTTTACGACACTAAGAAGCGAGGTATTTCTGCTTCTGAGCTCATCTAGCCCTCTCTTAACTATAGGAAAAGCAACATCACTTTTGCACGAACACGATGTAATTATGTTTGATGAATTATCAAACTGATAAGCAGTACCATCACATCCGTCTGGGGTTTGATGTGTTACTAAAGTCATAAGATGTACCACTGGTACCATCACCGTTGGAGCAAGAAAAAGTCATCGAGTAATATCTAGAGTTCCAACTATTAGTGCAACCATAGTTTAGACTTATGTTTCTATCATCAGCGTCTAGACTTGGCTTCATTGCCGTGGTAAGAACATAGCTTGTATCTTGCGAATAACACCTGTTGAACAAGTTGATTGGGGAAAGAGCGATGGCTTGGGAAGATTTGTTGATGCTAAGCACTTGTAACTTGATGGAGTTATTTTGAAATACGTTAATGTAAACTTGAGAATCAGTAAGCATACGGGCTTCATGTCTGGGACTCCACAGAACATGGGGCTATTATCTCCCCAAAATGGATACCCGGCATTTTAGATTTGCCCACAAGAGTATGGATTAGAGCATGCTGTATATTGTGCAAACTCAGATTTTGACAAGGGAACAACAGCTAACAACAGGAAAATACAGGTTATGAAAGGAAACTGGATGCTTATAAAACCATCAGAGATCATTTTTGATAAAAAGAACCAAGCTTTTCTTGTAATAAAATTAGAATAGAGAGAAGAATAATAAATGTGATACTTTTAGCGAAGATAAGGCTATGATTATATATATGACTTTATAAGTTTATATCATCAAATATCATCAAGAAGCCTTGGGTTTACTTGGACCAAAGACTTTGGTATTACAGTAGTTGCCGAAAAAAAAAGACTAGCCACTCTGTAACATGTTAAGTTGTGAATGAATAGTGGGTCCCTACGAATCTACAACCCTACTCCATAAGAACCCACTAAGTTATTTACTCCTCCCTCCGTCCTTTTATTATATGCCTGTATTTCTTTTTTGGATCATCAAAATTAAGTGTCTGTTTCTATTTATAGGTTGTAATTTCTGACAATATTATTCTCTTTTTATGATTTGTCATTTTTTTTTATTTCTTTTTTTTTTTACTTTGACATCAATTCCCAATACTTTCTTTCTCCTAATTCTCAACCACTTTTTCTTTCTCTCTATCTCTCTCTAACCCTACATGCATATTTATACTCTTAATTTATTAGTTTTAAGGAATCTTTAACTTTCTTAATTCCCATGCAAAATGAGAAATAAGAATATAATAAAAGGACGGAGCCTAAAATGGGGCCAATTGACCGGATTGGTTAAAAAAAAAAAAAATCCTAGTGACAATTTGGTAAAAAAAAAATTGTCAGGCGACAATTAACCCAAAAAGTACAAAAAATTTCGACAAACTACTCGCGAATACCTTTTTTATGAATTAAAAATTTGAGGAAAAAAAAATGTTAAAATATCAAATTTTCCTAACTCTTATTAACGAAATTTTTAAAAAGGGGCTTAGGGGCGCAATTTCTTTTGTACTCTTGGAGTAACTTGCACTCCAGATTTATAAAATTCATGTTATTTTGATGTGAATTTCTTATTATTTCAATTTATATACATGTTATTTTGTACATGCATGCTATCATGCACAAGATACTCTAGGTTTATAAAATTCATATTATTTTGATGTGAACTTTTTATTATTTCAATTTACATATATGTTATTTTTAAATAAGTACATGTTATTTTATACATGCATGCAATTATTTATGGAGAGCGGCCACAGGAGTGTTATGTGACCGAATCATTCCCTTATTTAAAGGGAAAATTCTACAGGACTGCCATAAGACCAGTGTTGCTCTGTGGTATAGAATGTTTGGCTTCTAAGAAGGAGCACATTAAAATATGGAGGTTACAGAAATGCGCATGTTAAGGTAGATGTACGGGAACCCTCTAAGAGATAGAATTAGAAATGAGGTTATTCTCAAGAAAGTAGGTGTGGTAGGCATTGCAAACAAACTAAGAGAAAATCGTCTGCGTTGGTTTGGGCATGTTAGACGGAGACCCGAGGCTGCATCGTTTCGAAGAGTGGAAGAGTGGAACCATGGAGGGGTTAAACGAGGGAGAGGAAGACCGAAAATGACTTGGTTGGAAGGAGTTAGAAAGGATATGAAGTATATGGATTTGCATGAAGATGAAGTATTGGATCGTAAGGGATGGAGGAGGAAGATTTTTATGGATGACTACACGGAATAATTAAATTTGGTTCATGTAACCGACCCCAATTATCGGATTAAGGCTTTCATTGATTGATTAATCATTTCACTGTAAAAAGCTCTTAATTTGAATATTCTATAATCTTAACAATAAGGATATTTTGTAAATAACCACCCCAAAATGTACCCTGTGTTGAACTAACTACCCTTTTTTTTTAAATTAAAAAATACCACCCCTATTTTACAAAACTAGTAGGTGTAACCACCCCTCCTATATTCTGCCTGTTTTCCGACTGATGGCTCACGTGCCACCACCCTATTGGTCTAAAATAACAAAATAAAAAAAAATTAAAATTAAAATCATCTTTTAAAAAAAAGGTAGCTACCCCCTCCTCCTTCTCCTGCCACCGAGACAGTCAACCCAACCCAAACCAACCTCATGTCGGACCACCAAAATCAGCCAGCGCCGCCCTCTCCCACTCCCCATTCACTGCCAGCGTCCAGCATAGCCTCCCCGCCAGTACCCACTCTTCCCCCAACTGCCAGCAAACCAAACTCAACCCTCCAATCTCCACCTCGACCGCCGCCTGAAACTCGCATCATTCCTTGAAGAAGCACCAATCGTTATCCCCACCCCTCGCCTGAAACCCGTAACTCATCCCTCGCCTGAAATTCCCACCCCTTTGCTTGAAATCGAAACCCTGACCTACTCCCCACAGCCTTAGCCCGAAACTCCAACCCTCACCTGAAACCCTAACCCCGAAACTATCCTAAACCAAAGAGAGGGGTCGAAATTATTGAGGGGAAGAAAGGGGGTCGGAAACAAGGACGGAAAGAAGGAGGGATGCCGGAAACGGAGACGTGGAAGGGAGGGGGTGCCGGAGGGAGGTGGTAGGAATGGGTTTCAATTTTTTTTAAGTTTAATTTTTTATTTCAAAACCCTAAATAGAAAAATTGGCCGGAAAACATGCTGGAATAGAGGTAGGGGTGGTAAAACCTATTGATTTTGTAAAATAGGGGTGGTATTATTTAATTTCAAAAAAATGGGTGGTTAGTTCAACACAGGGTAGATTTTGGGGTGGTTATTTACAAAAATTCTAAAAATAATTTCCATGTAATATATAATTCTCTCAAAGGAGTGAGAATACACGTTTTGAATACAAAAAATTATCAATTTTAAGCAAACTAACACAAGGTCTAAGAAAATAACACAAAGTTTGTGTAAATAATACATGTATTATTGATAAAATAACATGAACTAAAACTTATGTAAAATAAAACAATGTTTTGGCAAAATAACACAAATATTATGTAACATAGCACGAGATGAGGTTGATCTGAATTAATTAGATAACATATTGTTTTAGCAAAATAAAACAAGATATAGGCAAAATAACATAAGGTTTAGGCAAAATAACTCAAGCATATTGGGTATGGAGTACCATGATCCATAGTACATTAGGAGTATATAATACTAATTGGCCTAGGCGGGATGGAAATAAATTTGGGTAATTCAGGATTTAACAAAATAAAAAGGGGAAAACATATTAATTTTAAATTTTAAATTGGAAAAATAAATTTAAAAACATATAAACAAATTCATAAAGTTTCATGTGGCTGGCTATACCGTGTGGCCGGGGTTACTTGGTCGCTCATGGGTTACTTGATCAGGGGCTACTCGGTCGGTTAGGGGTTACACGATTGGTCAAGGGTTATCCAGTTAGGGGTTACTCGATCGGTTAGGTGTTATCCAATCAAAGGTTACCCGGTCAGTGTGTTTTGGGTGTGTTAGCCGGTCATACGACAAAAAACACGCTAAAACAAATTATATTAATTAATCGCCACTTTTTATCGGCACCACCACCAGAAGCATACCTAAAGGCCAACACTCCAACACTTTGATGCCACTAGGCTGCAGGGGTAGCAAGTAAAAACGAATTATATTAGGACTTTGAAGGGTTGTCAAAAAAAATAGTTTTTTTTTTTTTTTTTTTTTTGTCTAAATGTCACATGAGTTTATTTTCTTTTACAAAATGGTCACATATGATTTTTTTTTACCAAATTGTTGTTAGAGGTCTTAATCTGCTCTGAAAAGATCACAATGGTAATGGAATAATCATATTAATACTCTAGAAGGGGGGGTTGAATAGAGTATGGGCGTTTTTCGCAAAACTGAAAATTTCAAGGCCTTGAGATCAGTTACAGGGCGGAATAAACTGATCTCTGTTTTACAATTCAAGACTTTGAAAACTATTTAAAGTAAAACAATTAATAAACAAAATGTTATAAACGTTTGTTTTGGATTTTGCTAAAACTGTTTAAAACAAAGAACGAAAGTAAGAACAAGGCAAAAGTAAAAGCAGAAATAAACACAAGGAATTGTTACGAAGTTCAGCACAAAGGCCTACGTCTCCGCCTAGGGTTGTCCAACCCGTAAGATTTTAACCAACTTTTATTTCTTCCTTTAGAGTTCTAAAGCAATGTAGAAGATCTCACTATCTTCTCTCCGTAGTACTTCCCATTACACCTTAGACACTCAAATCCTAGAAATAAAAGCTAACACACTCAAACAACTTCGAGTAGTATAACTTTACTACGAAGTGTATCACTTAAAATTACAATGTTTAGCACAAATGAACACTCGTATTTTTCCCTCACTTTTAAGTAATAAAAAGTAGTAAACAATGAGAGAATTAAAGCTCTTAGAATAGCACAAGACTCTTGAAAAACTTGGATGATTAAAAACGGCTGATCCTCATGCTATTTATAAGGCTTTGAAGCTGACTTTAAAATGTTGCACAGCAGCCTTTGAGACTTCAACAAACTCCAGGAATTTCGAAGCTTTCAAATTTAAACTTCAAGGCTGTTTTGAATTCAACGTTTATCTCCTTTAGAGAGCCAGCTAAGATCTGTTACAACAAACTTATAATATCCTAAAAATAAGGTTAGCAAGCATAAGATAAAGTAACAGCAATATTTATCTTAATAAGAAGAATTATCATATTCAAAAATTCAACAAACCGAAACAAGATAAATAAATACTTTGACAGAAAATAATCTTGAATAATAAAGATAAAATCAGTTAGCATGCTTATAGCAGAATATCAATAGTACGAATATAATTTGGCACAACATACACAAAATAAGCTAAGCACAAAATAAACTAAGCATATTAGATAATCATTGACTATTCATTTTGACTTCCATCATTCGACATAAAAAATAAAACTAAGTAAGAATTAAACTAAACAACAAGGTGGAGTCATCAATCTTCCCCTTGATGGAAGTCAAAACCTGTGACAAATAACAATAAAAGTCAACAGAATTATAGCACACAAAAATAAGAAGCATAAGAATAATAACCATTAATGATTAAATAAGCCTTGAAGTGTCCTGCTGCTCCCCTGCTCATCCATCCAACTAAGCACTGATTTCCTCAAGCTTCCTCTCAACATCTTGGCTCCCCCTACGAAGTTGCATCCTTATTTAACATTCCCAACTCAAGCCGTATAAAATTAAATCTTTCTTCACTCAAAGGCTTGGTAAATATGTCAGCAATTTGAAAATTTGTAGGGATGAAAGAGATAGAAATGTCACCTTTTTCCACATGATCTCTTAAGAAATGATGTCGAACATCAATATGTTTGGTTCGAGAGTGCTGCACAGGATTCTTAGCAATTGATATAGCACTTGTATTATCACACTTTAAAGGTATTCCTGTATAATTAAGGCCCAAATCTTTAAGCTGTTGAGATATCCACAATATTTGTGAACAACAAGCACCAGCTGCAATGTATTCAGCTTCTGCAGTTGATAAAGCTACGGAATTTTGTTTCTTGGAGTGCCAACTTATGAGAGATGATCCAAGAAATTGGCAGCAACCTGAAGTACTTTTCCTGTCTACTCTATAACCTGCAAAATCAGCATCCGAATACCCAACAAGCTCAAAGTTGCTATTTTTAGGATACCAAAGACCAAAGTCCTTAGTTCCATTTAAATACCTTAAAATACGTTTAACGGCACTTAAGTGTGATTCCTTAGGATCAGCTTGAAAACGTGCACACATACAAACACTAAACATAATATCAGGTCGACTTGTTGTTAAGTAAAGAAGAGATCCAATCATACCTCGATATTGCTTTTGATTTACTGATTTACCATTTTCATCTTTGTCGAAAGATAGTGATGAACTCATAGGAGTTTTTGCTTCTTTGGATTGTAGCATATCATATTTCTTAAGGAGCTCTCTAGTATATTTGCCTTGATTCACAAAGATGCCTCCTTTATCTTGTTTAATTTGCAATCCAAGAAAGAAATTGAGTTCACCCATTAAGCTCATTTCGAATTCCCTGCACATAATATCAGAAAATTCCTTGCAAAGGGAATCATTAGTAGCACCGAACAAAATATCATCAACATAAATTTGCACAATCAGTAAGTCACTTGCTTTGATTTTAACAAACAGAGTTTTGTCAACTTGACCACGTTTAAAACCGTTTTCCAAAAGATATTTTGATAAACATTCGTACCAAGCCCTTGGGGCTTGTTTCAAACCATATAAAGCTTTATCAAGTTTATAAACATGATCTGGAAAAGACTCATTTTCAAAGCCAGGAGGTTGTTCTACATAAACTTCCTCTTTTAGAAAACCATTTAAAAAAGCACATTTTACATCCATTTGAAATAGTTTATTACGCATAAAGGATGCAAAAGCAAGTAAAATTATGATTGCTTCCATACGTGCAACAGGTGAAAAAGTTTCCTCATAATCAATACCTTCTTCTTGATTGTAGCCTTGAGCTACTAACCTTGCCTTATTTCGAGCAATTTTACCATTTTCATCCAACTTGTTCCTGAACACCCATCTTGTTCCAATTACTGATTTTCCTTTGGGCCTTGGAGTCAAATTCCAGACTTTGTTTCTCTCGAATTCATTTAGCTCACTTTGCATAGCAATAATCCAATCCGATTCATGCAAGGCTTCTTTGACATTTTTTGGTTCAACAAGGGAAACAAAGGCATGAAAGGCACAAAGAGATTTTAAGTTTGCTCTGGTTTGGATTCCAGATTTTGGGTCAGAAATGATTTTATCAAGAGGATGAGATGAGGCATGTTTGAATTTTCTACGCATTAATAAGGGGGTAGAAGGTGGTTCTCTGAGGACGGTTTCAAGACCATGGGATGAATTTTGGCTAGATTCAGGTTCAGGTTCAAGGTCTTGAGATGAGCTTTCAGGGCTTTGAGGAGGAGAAACAGAGGATTGATTTAATTCTTCTGTGGTTTGAATGGGTTCTTGGATGTTCTGGGTAGGGCGAATTGCTGGAGCTTTTGCTGCTTCTTTATCACTCTCATCATCTGTTTCTGGTTCCTCGTATCTATTCAGCTTTAGACCTGTAAAACTTTCACTCAAAGTATCCTTTTCGGATTCGTCAAAAATAACATGTATGCTTTCTTCAACAAGCTTAGTTCGCTTGTTAAAGACTCTATATGCTTTAGAAACAGAAGAATACCCCAAGAAAATAGCTTCATCACTACGTGCATCAAATTTCCCAAGGTTATCTTTGCCATTGTTATGAACAAAGCAAGTACATCCAAATGGTTTTAGATAAGCTATATTGGGCTTCCTTCCTTTGAAAAGCTCATATGGAGTTTTCTTTAAAATAGGGCGAATTAAACAATGGTTTGAAACATAGTTACCTGTGTTTACAGCTTCTGCCCAAAAATATTTTGGTAAAACATTTTCCAAAAGCATGGTCCTGGACAGATCCTCAAGGGTGCGGTTCTTGCGTTCCACAACCCCATTTTGTTGAGGTGTCCTTGGAGCTGAAAAGTTGTGAGAAATACCATATTTAATACAAAACTTTTCAAAATTGATTTGATCAAATTCTCTACCATGGTCGCTTCTCACAGCTACCACAGGTAGGTTTTTCTCAGTTTGAACTTCTTTGCAAATTTTTGAAAATTCCAACAAAGCTTCTGATTTTTCTCTTAAAAATGAAACCCAAGTAAAACGAGAATAGTCATCAACAACCAAAAGGATATACTGTTTTCCTTTTGGGGTTTTGACACGCATAGGACCACATAAATCAATATGTAAAAGTTCAAGGGTTTAGAGGTACTTACAACCTTTTTGGTCTTAAAGGAACCTTTAACCTGTTTACCTCTAGCACATGCTTTGCACAGCTCTTTTTCTTTGAAGTTTAATTCAGGCAAACCATGCACTAAACTCTGTATTGACAGCTTTTTCAAAGTATGCATGTTAATATGTCCAAGTCTTCTGTGCCAAAGCCTTGTATTTTCAGTCAGGGCCTTGAGACACTTCAGACTAGAACTTTCAACGAGATTAGAATGAAACGAATACACATAATTATTTCTAGGAGCAGTTAGAATGATCTTACCACCTTTGTCACGCACTTCACATTTTTCATTATCAAATATTACCTCGTTGCCTTTGTCGCACAGTTGAGAGATGCTTAAAAGATTGTACTTCAATCCATCAACTAGATAGACATCATCAATGGAGTTAAATGTATCACCTCCAATTTCGCCAATGCCAACGATATTGCACTTCTTTTTGTCTCCAAGGGTTATTGTTCCACATAGATTAGTTTCAACCTTAGAGAATAGAGCAGAATTTCCACTCATGTGCCGAGAACATCCACTATCTAAAATCCATCTATAATCTTTCTTTTTCAAGCTCTCTTGCAAAATAACAAATTATCAAACCTTTCTAGACCAAACTGCAAATTTGGAATCATATTCGGTATAAACCATGTTTGGTGGTCTAGTTCCCTTAACTACCCAGATTTGCTTAATTTGGTCTCGAGTAAAATAAGGAAATGAATTTTTGATAATATGAGGATCTTTCCTTTTGAAAGGACAGGTAAGCTTGGTATGACCTTTTTTGCAACAATAAAAACAGGTAGGACCATTAAAACTTCCTTTGGCTTTAACAAAAACAGTAGGTTTCTTTTTGTCAAGATATTTATTAAAACCAAGTCCAGTTTTGTCTCTGGATCCTCGAGCTTTATCCAACATTTTGTCAAAATCATTTTCAGAATTTGAAGGTTTATTTAAAAGGCTTTGCTGATTTGAACACTTTTCAAAAAGACTTCTCTTTTCTTTTTCAAGACTGTAATTACAATAATTTAGAGAAGTGAGTTTTTGTTTCAAAGTATTGTTCTCAATTTTCAAGGCCTTGATCTGAGTTTCAGATACTTTGACCTTGTTTTCGAGAGCTGTATAAGCTTCTTTTAAAATAGAAACTTCTTTGGTTAAACTCTCAGTAGTTTCAACTTGCGTACTGAGTTTTTCTTTCAAAAATTTTGACTCTTGAATCAAGCTTTCCTCATTGATAATCATATTATGCAAGAATTCAGAAAGAATATTTGAAGGACTAGACATGAGGTTATTTACAATTACCTGAAGATGTTCTTCCTTTGAAGTGTCTTTTTCTGCCATTAAACATAGGTTGGCTTGATCATCATTGTCTGAATCACTTGAGTCAGAATCGCTCCAAGATGCCACCATAGCTTTCTTCTTGAATTCCTTTTTGTAGGGCTTAGACTTCTTTCTTTGAGGACAATCTCGTACAAGATGATCTTCTTCACCACATTCATAGCATTTCAAGGTATTGAGTTTGTTGTATGTCTTTCCCTTAGGCTTTTCTTGGCGATTGATGTATCGATCAGATTTCCCATGATTTCTTTCTTTTGAGAACTTCTTCTTCATCTTGAGGATTTTTGTAAGACTTCTTGAGAGAAGGGCAAAGGGGTCTTCATCATCATTATCTTCATCCGAATCTTCCTCTATTTCTTCTTCTTTCTTGGCTTTGAGAGCTAGCCCCTTTGTGGATGAGGCAGGCTCTCCATCTTCTTCATCAAAGGACATTTCATGGGTAATTAATTTTCCCAACAGATCATCAAGAGGAAGGGTTCTTAGATCTTGAGCTTCTTCAATTGTTGTAACTTTAGGACCCCACTTTGCTTTTGGAAGACATCGAAGGATCTTTCTCACTTTTTCTTCATTTGAGAAAGACCTGCCAAGAGAATCAAGATTGTTAATAATTTGAGTGAATCTAGTAAACATTTCCTTAATAGATTCATTGGAAAGCATTTTAAAAAGTTCATATTGTCGAAGAAAAATGCTGATTTTGGTCTCCTTGACTTGGCTTGTTCCTTCATATGTGACCACGAGCTTGTCCCATATCTCCTTGGCACTTTTGCATGTAGACACACGATTGAATTCGTTTGCATCCAGTGCACAATATAATAAGTTCATGGCACGGTAATTCTTTGCAACGCTTTCAAGATCCGTTTGGTTGAACTCATCATCATTCTTGGGAACGGCTACTCCACTTTCAGTGGTCTTCATAGGAACTTTAGGACCCTTCTTGATAATCTCCCAGAGTTCAAGGTCTTGATCAATCACGAACATTTGCATCAACGACCTCCAATGAGCAAAGTTGTTGCCACAAAAGAGAGGAGGGCGATTTGCGGATCGACCTTGAGCGAAGCCTCCATCACCAATGGAATTCATCTTCACAGATTGTTAGATCTTTACGTGAAAACCTGCTCTGATACCAAATGAAAGGATCACAATGGTAATGGAATAAACATATTAATACTCTAGAAGGGGGGGGGGGGTGAATAGAGTATGGGCGTTTTTCGCAAAACTGAAAATGTCAAGGCCTTGAGATCAGTTACAGGGCGGAATAAACTGATCTCTGTTTTACAATTCAAGACTTTGAAAACTATTTAAAGTAAAACAGTTAATAATCAAAATGTTATAAACGTTTGTTTTGGATTTTGCTAAAACTGTTTAAAACAAAGAACGAAAGTAAGAACAAGGCAAAAGTAAAAGCAGAAATAAACACAAGGAATTGTTACGAAGTTCGGCACAAAGGCCTACGTCTCCGCCTAGGGTTGTCCAACCCGTAGGATTTTAACCAACTTTTATTTCTTCCTTTAGAGTTCTAAAGCAATCTAGAAGATCTCACTATCTTCTCTCCGTAATACTTCCCACTACACCTTAGACACTCAAATCCTAGAAATAAAAGCTAACACACTCAAACAACTTCGAGTATTATAACTTTACTACGAAGTGTATCACTCAAAATTACAATGTTTAGCACAAATGAATACTCGTATTTTTCCCTCACTTTTAAGTAATAAAAAGTAGTAAACAATGAGAGAATTAAAGCTCTTAGAATAGCACAAGACTTCTTGAAAAACTTGGATGATTAAAAACGGCTGATCCTCATGCTATTTATTAGGCTTTGAAGCTGACTTTAAAACGTTGCACATCAGTCTTTGAGACTTCAACAAACTCCAGGAATTTCGAAGCTTTCAAATTTAAACTTCAAGGCTGTTTTGAATTCAACGTTTATCTCCTTTAGAGAGCCAGCTAAGATCTGTTACAACAAACTTATAATATCCTAAAAATAAGGTTAGCAGGCATAAGATAAAGTAACAACAATATTTATCTTAATAAGAAGAATTATCATATTAAAAAATTCAACAAACCGAAACAAGATAAATAAATACTTTGACAGAAAATAATCTTGAATAATAAAGATAAAATCAGTTAGCATGCTTATAGCAGAATATCAATAGTACGAATATAATTTGGCACAACATACACAAAATAAGCTAAGCACAAAATAAACTAAGCATATTAGATAATCATTGACTATTCATTTTGACTTCTATCATTCGACATAAAAAATAAAACTAAGTAAGAATTAAACTAAACAACAAGGTGGAGTCATCATGCTCAATTGGCCCCTAAAATAGAAGCTACTAAATAGTCCTTAAATGGACCTCTGACTTCTAAGTTATTACCACGGATTCCCTATAAATACCAAATGGTGACATTAATGCATTATTTTCAGGTATTTTATTCTAATCACTAAGGCTCTATCTCCTAATTTTCGACCTGATATCATAACCTGAGCGTTAAAAAGGATTTCTCAGGAACACCCTTGTATCTCTCCTAATTTTCGACCTGATATCATAATCTAAGCAATCATTTGGGTTTCGGACAACTTTTTTGGAGCACAGATGCAGGTACTATCTATCATCATTCTTTACAAGTAACATTGTTTTAATAAGAACAGATTATGTGCCTGTTAACGTGAATGTACTAAAGTAGTACATTTTACGCAGCTATCCAAAAGAGCTGGGTGATAACTGATAAAGTACGCACCTGATTGAGAACACGCTTATGGTTGCTCCATGCCTCCACCTTGGCAATAACAGACTAACTGTACGAATTATAGATCCCCTGATGGTTCCCAGCTGCCTCAGACTCCTCACACTTGGAACAGGCTCCGCTGTGAAGTTCGCTATATATATCCTATCTGTTGGAGACTTTGGACACTCATAAGCAAAGCTTTTGTGCTTCAAGCTCGCTCACCCCACTCTCATCCACCACATATGTGACAATGATCTTGCAGGAGCAGAATTTGACTATCCTGCTGATGTTACATGAGTTAGAAAGTAAAAACAGCAGAGCCATTGATAGAAACCATCATAGTCGATTAGTCGGAGCAACTAACAGACTTGAAGTGATACCTGGAGACACAATAACTTGAAGTCTGAAACCCCACAAAATACTGGCATATGCCTATTACATCCCCTAAACTGGTACCCAAGATTTAGGCTATGCCCGAATGAGTAAAGAATAAGCAACCTGTAATCCTGTATAATTTGCATTCTCATTATTTTAGTAAGTGAACAGCAGCTAAGGTTACAAAAAGTTGAAGAGAAAGTGGACACTAATGAAACTGGAGATCATTTTTATTGATACCTGAGGTCGCTGAGGCACTCTTCATGAAAGTCAGCAAGAAAATTAATAAAAGCACCAAAAAAAGAAAAAGGAACCTGTAGCTTGGCTAGCAAAAATACATTTAGTCGACTTGATTTCAAGACTTTATTGTCTTTTTTTTGGTCTTTATATCATCAAGAAGACTTGGATTTACTTGGACTATAAGTGTTTGGGTCCCTACGACACTACCCCTTAAGAACCCACTAAGGTATTTACTAAAGTATCCTAAGATGGAAGTTACGAGAGTGCCCTTAAATCGACCTCTGACCTCAAACTTATTACTACGGATTACCTATAAATACCAAATGGTCACATTGATGCATTATGTTCAGGTATTTTATTCTAATAACTTAGGCTATATCTCCTAATTTTCGACCTGATATTATAACCTGAGTGGGGGTTTCTTCGGAACACCCTTGATTTAGCTCACCTTGTTAGTTTGCAGGCGAGCAATCGTTTGGATTTCGATTTGCAGACAGCTTTTGGAACATGGATCCAAATACTATCAATCATCATTCTTTACAGGTAACATTGTTTTTATATGAAACAGATTCTGTGCCTTTCAACATGAATGTACTAAGTAGTACATTTTACGTAGCTATCCTAAAGAACTGGGTGATAAAGTACGCACCCAATTGAGGTTTGAGAACACGCTTAAGGTTGCTCCATGCCTCCACCTTGGCAATAACAAACAAACTGTACGAATTATAGATCCTTTGATGATTCCCAACTGCTTCAGACTCCTCACACTTGGAACAGGCTCTGCTGTGAAGTTCGCTATATATCCTATCTGTTGGAGACCTTGGACACTCATAAGCGAGGCTTTTGTGCTTCAAGCTCGCTCACCCCACTCTCATCCACTACATATGTGACAATGATCTTGCAGGAGCAGAATTTGACTATCCTGCTGATGTTCGATGAGTTACAAAGTAAAAAGAGCAGAACCATTGGTACAGTACCATCATAGTTGGAGCAACAAACAGACTTGAAGTGATACCTGGAGACACAATAACTTGAAGTCTGAAACCCCACAAAATACTGGCATATGCGGATATGCCTATTACATCCCCTAAACTGATACCCAAGATTTAGGCTATCCCTGAATGAGTAAAGAATAAGGCAACCTATATAATTCGCATTCTCATTATTTTAGTAAGTGAACAGCAGCTAAGGTTACAAATAGTTGAAGAGATAGTGGACACTAATGAAACTAGAGATCATTTTTATTGATACCTGAGGTCGCTGAGGCACTCTTCATGAAAGTCAGCAAGAAAATTAATAAAAGCACCCAAAAAAGGAACATGTAGCTTGGCTAGCTAAAAGACATTCAGTTGACTTGATTTCAAGACTTAGCATCAGATAACATGAATGAAAAGTATATAGCAATGAATGAATTCCAGTCCCACTTACTTTATCCATCTCTCCCAAATTCCCATTTCTCTATCCTAGTTGTTTGATCGAGTGGTGGTACTAGACAGCATGTTGGGCTCACTGCAGAAGAAGTCCAACTGATGAGGCTGGCAGAGCAACAGCACTTCTAGGCTTACTAGCCATTTGGTGCGAGTAGTCAATCTTGACTTAAAAGTATAGCAGCAGCAAAAAAACTGAGAAACAGCAACAAAGAAAAGACAGCAGGACAGAAGGAAAAAAAAAAAAAAAGCCACAATCTAAGTATTATCTTTATCTTTTTTCCTTTTGAACAGATGGCAATATCCATCATCTTTGAGATAATTGTATCAGTACTGATTGTTAATGCATGGTACAAAATCAAATCAAAAGCCAAATGATTCATTGTTCTGCTTCTCATAAATATTATACCTTCAGCAACATAGAAGTACAATAAAAGTTTATAACAGATTCATGCACCTAAACTCAACATCATCAACATGCTTCTGACATTTCTCATCTGATAGACAGCCTTAATATGATGAATTGAACATAAGTGAAAACTGAAATTATGCTGTGCTCACAAGCGAGGCATCAAACACAGATCCTGAATGTGGAGGTGAATGTGGTTTAGGTGGCATTTGTAGTGACTCAAATGGCCCTTCCAACATTTCTACAACTCTGTTCATAGGCGGCCTGTTCGAGGGATATGGCTGTATGCACCATAAGCTCACCAAAATCATTTTCCTCTCTAACTCTTTTGCCATCGCCCATAACCTCATCAACTGCAGCTTTCTCCATAGACTCAAGTCGATTGTATATCCATTCAGGAAAGTATATTTCATTGCTGTCCTGAACTTCATCAGTTGGATTATTCGTATCACAAACTAGGTCGATGAGCATCATCCCATAGCTATAAACATCTGATTTATGGGAAACGCCACCAAAATTTCTACAAACAACTTCTGGAGCAATATACCCAATTGTCCCCCTTGCTTCTGACATTGAAATCAAACTATTCTTTAGTGGACACAATCTAGCAATGTCAAAATCAGAAATCTTTGGGCAAAATTCTTCATCAAGAAGAATATTATGAGGCTTAATGTCAAAGTGCAATATTCGCGTATTGCAACCTCTATGCAGGTAGTCTAGTCCCCGTGCAATTCCAATTGCAATGTTGAACATAGTTTCCCATTGCAATGACTGTCTAATCTCTCTACCATATATAAACTTTTCAAGAGATCCATTAGGCAAGAACTCAAAGACAAGAGCTCTTTTGTTCCCTTCAAAACAAAATCCTAAAAGAGTAACAACATTGACATGATTAGTCCTGCTAATGCTTAATACCTCATTGATGAAATCTTTCCCATCACCCTTTAAAACTTTCAATTTCTTCACTGCCACGAAACGACCACTGTGTAGTCTTCCTTTGTAAACACTTCCATAACCTCCTTCACCAAGTTTATCTTTGAAGAAATTGGTTATTTTCCTTATGTCTGCATATGTGTATCTTTTTGGTGCAAGAGATCCATAACTTTTTAAAAAGGCTGCTACAATTTGATCCTCTATTGTTCGTCGACTCCATAGAAATGAAACTTTACTGGTTTCCCGCCTTTTGTTTGCACGGGTGATCAAAGCAACCAACATCATTGTCCCTAGGAGTGAAGCAGCTGCACCTGCAGAGTAACAATCATAGAGAAGTTCGTCCCCCTCTCTCATAAATCCTCTCTACTGGAACTAATATTTGTAATAACTAACAAGTACATGTCAAAGAGATATGTATGCAGTACACATAATAAGTATAATACCTGATCCAAACAGTAATTTTCGTCGTAAACCTGCACAAAGGAATGACTTGTAGACATAAATTTGCTGCTTAGTGCTTATGCATCAAACCTTAATTGAGTGATGCTAATAATTTGCAATATCAAATACTTTTAGAAATCCTTCACTTTTATAAATTCTTTTCTTCCTTAAATCCTAACTGAGACAGACTTGGTTTTCTTATTGGGCGTTGGATCATTATTAGGAGTGAAAAGATTCTCCTAGTTTCCCATTGTTAGATTCATTTGAATAGGAATACAGATTTTATTTTAAGAGTATTGTAGATTCACTTTTTATAAATGTTAGATTTTAACAGAACTATACAAAACCAAGTGACCCAAGTATAAGATTTCCATGTATTTAGAATATTTTACTTTTCTGATGTGTTATCTCCCAATAACCAAACATGGTAAAATTGAAGAATCCATAAGTTAAAACAATCAAAAGTAGTTAGTAATTGCTTTGAAGACTTGATAATCACTTTATAATCTATTTTAAGTATCAACTCGATCGAGTTGACCCTAAAGCTAATACTTCGTACTTAATATTTCACTGTAATCTATTGTAATAAAGCTGGTTAGCATTTCTAAAAACAAAGAGCCAAGTAATGAATTATGCACCTGAATTAGATGTACTTGGCTTAATACACTTTAATGGCTGAGGTCCATCTCGGCAATAACAAACAAACTGATCTGAAGATGGATCTGACCCGCAACTGCCGCCAGACTTCTGACACTTAGAACAGACAGTGAAGTTCACCATGTACTTCATCCTAACAGTTCTCCACTTGTTTAAGACACTAAGAAATGAGGCATCTGTGCTACGATTGAGCTCATCTACCGCTCTCTTATCTACTAGAAATGTAAAATTGTACTTGCACGAGCATGATGAGTTACCTATCCTGCTGATGTAAGTGATGTCTGATGTATTACCAAAGTAATAGGCAGTACCATTGGTACCATCATCGTCAGAACAAGAAAAAGTCCTAGAGTAATATTTGGAGTAACAGTTCTTAGCGCAACCATAGAATAAGCTTATAAATCTATAACCGGCCTCTGGCTTCAATGTGGGAAGATAGGTTATATTGTTTAAATTTGGCATAGTCAAATAACACCTATTGAACTGAAGATTTATGAAAAAAGCCATGGTATGGGAAGATGTATTGATGCCAAGCACTCTTAAACTTAAGGTGGCTTGTGCATTTTGATAGACGATCATACCAGGGTAATTTAAACTAGAATGTTTACAGTCGAGCAAGAAGGCTGTGATCCCACAGTATTTGGGCCGATTACCTCCCCAAAATGGGTAACCAACATTTTGGAGATGACCACACAAGTACGGTATAGAGCATGATGTATATTGTGCATCCTCAGCATTTGACAAGGGAACAACAGCTAAAAACAAGATGATGCAGGTTATGAGAAGAAAGTTGATGCTAAAGAAACCAGAGATCATTGTTATAAAAATATACAAGTATTTTTTTTTTCTTGTAAAGAAAAATATAGAGAGGACGATGTATGAGTGGTCAAATTTAACTTTCAACAAGCACTTATACATACTGACTGAAGGTTTGCCGTTTTAGCCTCATTTAAGGTGGTTCAAGTGGGATATTGGTGAAGACAATTATAGTCAAGAGTGTGAAAATATGAAATGCAGGCAGCACACTTCCCTTTTTCTCTTAAAGTTGCACCATTTAAAACGTTTACGCTATTCACACACTTTTCTTAACTATCTATTCTTTTGTGAATAAATGTAAGAAAAAATCGCTTTGGGGACCTGGATATGTCTAAATACTTTAAATATACCAAAGTTTTTACCAAACACCCTTTGGCTTTTAAATATGAAGTAATAAATAAGCCAATAACTACTTTGTAATACAAAACTCTATGCAATGAATCAATGATTGATGTGACAATTAAATTAAAACAGGGTATCATATGTTCTACATTCACATTATTACACCTAGCTCTATGTGAAAATTCAGGGCATGCATGAAGCGAATTGAAGACATAAAAAGCAATAAGACTCAAGTCCACATAAGAATCTTCCAACCGTGTAGGGTAAAATTTATCATCAAGACTTGAGTTGATCAAAGTTGACTTGGATTACATATATGGGTAACCTGAAGTTGTGAATGAATGGGAATTTATGACAAAAATTGAGTTTTAGTTTCACTGTATCATCTTCTTGCATTACAAATCTCTCTTTCTCTTTCTCTTTCTCCTTTTGTAAAGTATATTTTTGCAATAGTATTTAATCATGTGTGTGTGTGTGTCTGTCTGTGCGCAATGATATAAATCAAGTCATCTTTGCAATGATGTATATCAAGTCTTGTGTGTGTGTGCAATGATATAAATTAAGTCATCTTTGCAATGATATAAATCAAGTCTTGTATGTGTGTGTGTGTGGGGTATATGTTTGCAATGATATAAATCAAGTCTTGTATTTAATAATCCATTCCTGCAATCTTAACTTTTAAAACACAAAGTTATCAAACATATTCAAAAACAAAAAACAAAAAAAAAATGACTTAATTAAGCTACTCCCATAAAAATCTCACTTAATCGAAAAATAATAATTGTATTTAAGTAGGTCTTAATTTTTATTAACTAAACACTACTATCTTGTTTTAAATTTTTACCTTTTAATCAACCAAATCCTATTATCTGGTTTTATTATATTCATTTCTAATCAACTAGACCCCATTTTTTTTTTTATTGTACTATTCGCCTTTACTTGAACTTCATCATCTTCCTTTTTTATTTACATTTCTAAATATATAGAAAGCAAAAGAGACATTTATTTGGGGACAAAGGGAGAGCCAAAAATAGTACCTTTTATCCAAAGAGACTTTAGGTGCATCAGTGGGGATGGAGATGGCTGATCAATCTAGTGACTTGGGCAGGGTGTTGCTTGAAAGCAGGAAGTCATTTAAAGAGAAAACTAAGAGGGAAATGAAGCTCACTAGAATCCAAGAGGGAAATGGGGGTTGGGGGGGGGGGAGGGTGGGTATCGGGGTTTACACATAGTGAGGAGGCAGCATGGGAGGCCTCAGAAGGGGCTCCTACAACAAATGGGAGAGGAGGAAAGGAAATAGAGTTGTCTGTCTGGATTTAGCTGGCTAGTATCTCAAGACTAACTATAATGAGCTTAATTTTTTGTCAAACAATACATCCCCTAGTGTAGGACTCCCTGATGATCCCCAAGACTCAATCTGCCTCCAGAGTCCAGACTCCTCTCACTTGGAACAGGCTGAGAAGTTCAGCAGTTTTCTATGTTTTTCATCTGTATTGGCCACTAATTTGGATACTCATAAGCAGCAATTATGGTTAAGCTCACTTATCCACTGCTAAACACTGTAAATGTGACATTGCTCTTGCTGGAGCAGGAATTACCTATCCTGCTGATGCCTGATGAGTAACAAGGCACTAAGATGAACCACTGATACAGTACTACAGTAACATTGTAGTCAAAGTAATAAAAGCAATATAGCAGTCATAAATCAAACAAATTTCCTAGTAACCGCTGCCTCGCTTTGGTTTGGAAAGCAAGGTTGACATACTCCTATCTTGCAAATAACAATTAGTAGACAAACAATCTTGAGAAATAACCATGGTGTGGGAAGTTAGATTGATGCCAAAAAAGCTTGATCCAACAAATCCATTATGAAATATGTTCACAAAAGGGTGATTCTGATCATAATGACAAGTGAGCTTAAAGTCTGAAATACCACAATACAAACCTATTACCTCCCCATAACATTGGATATACCCGCAACAGTAAACAAAAAGGAATGCTTTACAATATGCAATTTCATTATTTGATAAGTGGACAGCAGCTAACAAGATTAAAAAAATAATAAAAAATAAAAAGAAGTTAAAAAAAAAAAAAAAAAAAAAAAAAAAAAAAAAAAAAAAAACACTATGAAGAATTGAAAACAAAATGGATACTAATGAAAATGGAAATCATTATTATTGATATTTAAATCCACATGATAACATATATCATTTTGATATCTCCTACAACAATAACTTCAATAACTGAAAGTTCAAAAATCAAATCCCATTGCCATATAAATACATTTGACATATCTCTCATTGTATTAAAGCATGGACATACCTGACCTCACGTGGTGATTATAGACAAGGAATCCATCATGGATTCTGTAGGAGAAGATAGATTTGGTTTGGGGGGCAATTGTAACGACTCTGATGACCCTTCTAACATTTCTACAACTCTGTTCATAGGAGGTCGGTTTGCCGGATATGTTTGTATGCACCATAAGCTCACTAAAATCATCTTTTTCTCTATCTCCTTTTTATCGTCATTCAACATCTGATTAACTGCAACTTCCTCCATGGACTCAAGTCGATTGTATATCCATTCAGGAAAACACATTGCACTAGTGTCATGTGCTTTGGTATTTCTACCACAAACTAGGTCTAAGAGCATCATCCCATAGCTATAAACATCTGATTTATGGGAAATGCTGCCGTAATATCTACAAAAAACTTCTGGAGCAATGTACCCAATTGTCCCTCTTGCTTCTGACATTGTTATCATACTATTCATTGGTGGACACAATCTAGCAAGGCCAAAGTCAGATATCTTCGGGCGAAATTCTTCATCAAGAAGAATATTATGGGGCTTAATGTCAAAGTGCAAAATCTGTATATTACAGCCTCTGTGTAGGTAATCAAGTCCCCTAGCAATTCCAACTGCAATGTTGAACATAGTTTCCAGCTGCAATGATTTCTCAATCTCTTTACCATATATAAACTTGTCAAGAGATCCATTAGGCAAAAACTCAAATACAAGAGCTCGTTTGTATCGTTCAATACAAAAGCCTAAAAGAGTGACAATGTTGACGTGGTTAGTTCTGCTGATGCTTAATACCTCACTGATGAATTCTTTTCCATCACCCTCTAAAATCTTCAACTTCTTCACTGCCACAAAACGACCATCATGTAGCCTGCCTTTGTAAACAATGCCATAACCTCCTTCACCAAGTTTATCTTTGAAAGAGTTGGTCATTTTCTTTATATCGGCAAAAGTGTATCTTTTTGGGGCAAGGGATCCATAACTTTTCAGAAAGGCTGCCACATTTTGATCCCCTGTTATTCTACTCCATTGAAATGGAAATTTATAGGTTCCTCGTCTTTTATATGCAAGTATGAACAGAGCACTCAGCATCACTGTCCCTAATACTACAGCAGCCACACCTGTAGAGAGGAAATTGGAGAGAAAATTCCCAAATTGTAGATGCAGTTAAATTACCAATAAAGAAAATTTCACATAGAATCAAGAATTTCATATGATTCCTCTCATACATGTACTCCATTTCAGAAGAAAAAACATTAGAAAATCAAGTGCATGTAAAATTTATTTTATGCATGTATGGGGCATCAAATCTCTTCATTGTTGTATACAAATCAAATACACTGCAGCATGACAGTAATGATACCTGATCCAAGGATTGTTAACTTTCTTTGTTCACCTGCACAAGGGATATAGATATTAGTTTGTATGTGCATATCAAACACAAACATTTCGTCCCAAACTTAGTCTCCCATGACTTATAGCAGATAAGAGAAATTGGAAAAGGCATTACTTTAACACCCCTTAACATTCATGAACCTATGGATTGTAATTGTACTGACTTATACAGAGTACAAAACGCTACAACAACAACAAAGCCTAAGTCCCAAAACACTACATTTAATAATTAAAAAAAATATTTACTCTTATCACACAAGTCAAATACTTGATTAGGTATGTAAGTGAAGGAGAGGGTCTTTCCCTGTGCTATTTTTGTTTGATCTTGTAGTTGTCGGTGGATTTATGTATGGAAAGAAAGAAATAATGTTGTGCACAATTCGGCTGATTTTCTTCCTATAAGCCCAGTAGATAGAGCAAACATGAGACATTTATAATTTTTTGATTTAATTAAAAAAAAAGACACGTACCTGATTGAGAGCACACAAATGGATGAGGTCCATCCTGGCAATAACACACGAACTGATCCAAAGATGGGACATCAACTGATGATCCACATCTTCCGCCAGACTCCTCACACTTGGAACAGGCTGTGAAGTTCACCATGTACTCCATTTCAACTGGCCACTCTGTTAGGATACTCCAAAGAGAAGCGTTTGCGCTTCTAAGTTCATCTAACCGACTCTTGTCCACCGGAACAGTAACATTGTTCTTGCACGAACACAACTTTCCTATTCTGCTGATCTCTGATGGGTCTTCGAAGTAATAAGCCAAATCATTAGTATGATTATTAGAGTTGGTGCAAGTAAAAGATTTTGAGTGAAATCCAGAGACACAATCAGAGCAACCATAAAATAAGCTTATGTAGCTATAACTGCTATCTGGCTTCAATGTGGAAATCATGGTTATTTTACTTGTATCTTGCAAATAACAGGTTTCCAACAGCTTAAGTCGGGAAATAGACATGGTATGCGAAGATGTATTGATGCCAAGCACATTTAATCCCAAGTATCCATTATTATATATATTCATAGTAGGGAACTCTGTACCAGCAAGACAATTAAGCTTAAAGTCTGGGATGCCACAGAATCCAGGCCTGCTACCCCCTCCCCAAAAAGGATACCCAATGTTTTGGATCTGTCCGCACGAGTATAGATTAGAGCAAGCTGTATACTTTGCATCCTCACCATTTGACAAGGAGAAAGCTAGGAAAATAATGAAGGTTATGAAAGGAAAGTGGATGCTAACAAAGAAACTAAAGATCATCATTCTGATGGTGTTCAAAATGCTTTTGTGTTTCATGTATCTCTTTGTGAATGTCAGCGTGAAAATTAACATAAAACAAAGGCCAGGATGGCTTTAGGATGTAAGAAAGTTCCAAACAAATTAAGCAGTTAAAACGTCTTTATTAGCAAAGATATTTGACTTGATTTGACTAAAAGACTTTGGTAACATGAATGAATTGAGGTCCAGGCATAAAATGAAAATTATTCCCCAATCCTTAAAAATCCTCTAGATTCAAAGTTGCCAATAAGGACCCTTGGCTTTTTAGTGGGAGTAGTTTCCCCCTTTTTTGATGATGATGTGATTTTTTGTCTCTCATTCATAAGAGAGTTCTTTAATATTAAAGGGTTGAGAGCATATATATACTAAGATGGAATCCTGCATGGAACTTCTAGAGCATATATTTCATTATCTATTACTTTGTATTGTTTATGATTAGAATGCCAGCTGCCATAATTCCAACGTTAGAATTGCAAAAAAGTGTAGCAAATTGATGCCTAGATTTATAGAACAATTTTTAATTCAATAATTTAATCTACTCTTATTAAGGCAGGGCTGGGTCTGATATTTTATGGAAACAGTTGTGCAACAGGACTGCAGGAACCTGATATAGTACGGACTCTATAGAGTATATACTATTTGTAATTTGTAAGATTGTAATTAGATTTTTAGCTAAGCAAGAATCATATGAGCAGTCTGACCAGTTTAATAAAAGAATTATATTTAAGCAAAAGACGTAAAAGAAACACATAACACTTGGTCTGATCATCACATTGTTATAGTAAAAGAATTTTTATGACTTGAACACATGACTTCCTAGAAAATGAACAAATCAACAAAAAAGTAAGCACATGCTACTATGAGTACTACCTCTGCTCTATAATATATATTTTCTGTTTAAAGCCATGTTAAGGACTTTTTAACTGTTAAATATCATTCCTTTATTCCTTTCTTGATCATTGACCCTCACACTCTCTCCACCACTCTATTTTTCTATAAATATTTAACTTACACTCTATTAGGGCCTGTTTTGTTTACCTTATTTTCACTTAGTTCAGGTGTAAAAAGTTCAAATAAGTCAGTTCAAGAAAATATGTTCTAATAAGGGTTACTTAAATATAAATAACAACTAAAATAAGTTTTAATAAGATCTAATAATTTCAGATAAGTTTAATTAGTTCAAGTAAGTTCAAATAAAATATAAGATAAGTCTAGATAAGTGAAAATGAGGTGAATAGAACATACCCTTAAACAAAGCAAGTGATCTATAAAAGTTACGCACTCACTCATTTTGCATAGTATGGTGTTAACGTATTATTTTGTCAGTATATAAACAAAACAAGAAACCAAACGATATAAAGGAATCCATCAAACTTATATCCTTTCTCGCCTAAAACATGCCTCCATTGATTTAGGTATTGTTCTGCTCACCTTATTTTCACTTTTTTAAAGTCTAATTAGACAATAAGTTCAAATAATATAGGAGATAAAAAAAAGACAATACTTCCTTTGTTCCAAATTAGTTGACACGTTTTAACAATTGACACTCTTTACAAACTTTTGTGATTACGTATATAGATAAGAAAAAACATAGTTATGTGTCAATCCTTTCAATAAAAACACACTTATTATAATTTCTGTATTTAATTTAAAGTTGAATCTATGCATAAGAAAATGTGATCAAAGAAATGCGTCAACAGAGGAATTATAAGGGCTAATAAATTCAAATAAAACAATGATTAATAATTTCAAATAATATTAAATTTGTTTAATCGTTTGAATCATTGTTTGAAGTATTTTTTCTTTTTTATACATATACATCGATAATACTGATTCAAGTAGTCAAGATTTCTCTCTCCAAATAAAACCGATGATGTACGGTCAAATAATCCCAATTCAATTAAATGTGAAAGAAATTACCTCCAAATTCAATTGATAATTAAAATGCCGAAAACAAAACCGACGCTTCAAATTTGCTGCACTTTCCTCTTCAAAAATCAGCATCATTTAATCAAATAGCAGCACAAAACAAAGAAATTATAAAAAATTAAATAAAAATTGATGTGTAGGATAAATTATTACCGTGAATGCTGCGAAATTGATGAACTAGCGGAATGCAAATTGGGCAACTCATTGAAGATTGAAGATAAAAGTGGCGGTTTAAAAAAGGGTTCATTTTCGATTAATTTAGGGAATCTACTGATAAAATGAAGCTGAAGTTTAGCGGAGTAAAAGTTTGGTCCAAATTGGACACGGTACAGAATAGCTCCGTTTTGTTGAGGTGACCCACTACTAGCTTCTGCAAAAGTGTACTCGTCTACTCGACATACTACCTCCGTTTCAATTTATTACGGAGTTCAATAACAATAATACTTATTAGCTCCATTTTATATTATTTACAACAATTTAACATAAAGTGTAAGTAAAAAATATCTAATCCTCACGAATAATATGAAACGAATTAGTATAATAGTTGTACAAATAGTCGATAACGAAAGAAGGACTTGATTGAGTGGAAACCAAAACATGATAAATAAAAGGCGAAAAATAGGAAACATAGAAAATATAAGCCCTAATCAAAGTGGTTTTTTAATAAAATTTTGACCACATGAAATATAACATAAAAGGTTTAGGTCATCAACCATAATATAATAATGCTTGATCTATACACCAAAACGACATCCGCTTCTTCATAAAACGCAGGCACCAAACAAGCTTAAAAAAAGCGGAAAGAACATCATGTTAGTAAATAATGAACATGCATATTTTAAAGAACATCAAGTTAAGATAAAAAGAACGCGAGATATTCTCAACACAAATCTTTAGTTACGGGAAAAGGTCTACCCATGGTTCACATTAACTTATAAAATCTTTTAAAAAATTCATTTTTCAAAATCAGTTTCGTTATTTCTCCAAAAATACAGTTTCTCATAATTATTTTTATTCTCTAAAATTATTTTACCCAAAAATAACTTAAGATTTCGTTTTTAAATTTCAAAATTCAAATTTTTAAATTTTATTTTCAAAATTTCAGTTTAATTTTTTTTTTTATTTCGTTCATATTTTTCACCAATTATATATATAGTTATAACATTCATTTTAGGTTCTCTGTGTGTATATATATATTTCTTGTAATGTTCTGTATATGATTTAATTATGTTTTTTATTAGAAAATATGATGTACTTATAGTTGTTTGTAAAACTATATCTTTTTCCTTATGTCCATAATTACATCATGTAATAATTTTTATTAGATTATTTTAAATGTCTACGTTCTTTGATTGTAATTGCAATGTACTTTTATCGTCACATAATGTTCATTGCTTATTGTGAAATGTTCTTTGAATTTTGTCGTTATGTTCATTACATAATATTATCATGTACTTTAATAATATTACGGATGTTCTTTAGATCTGAAAAACAATCATCTATAGAGGAGATCTCAAAAGAATATTGTTATCAACCTTCATGATCCTGATTTTAAAAAAAATATACATAGTTAGTGATAATTAATATTAAAAAATATATAGAATTAATAAATGATATATTATTTAAAATTAATATTATAATAATTCAAAGAACATATTGGATAAATCAAAGAACAACGAAGCAAAGAACATAAGGGATAAAAATAAAGAACATTCATATTAGAACATCATCTTCAACCTTTGACAATATATTAAAATATAAAGAACATCATCTTCAACCTTTGTCATATCGATCACAAATTCATAAATATCAAAATTGAAAAAAAAAAAAAACAATGATAGTTTACAATAATTGATTAGGGGATTTTGCTCCCACCAATCGGAATGCGCCACGTGGGCCAATCAGGTCCTGTCAAGTGTCCTCCAGTTGGACCTCTCAGGGCTTGCCACGTGGCACACGCTTATTCGTCCACCCTGGACTTATTATGTCATGACACGTGGCATACTCCATGCCTAATGGAGAAGCCGGTCACCTAGGCCCAACTTCCGAGGGAAGCCCAATCAGCCCAAGGTTAACCTAAACCTAGATTGGCACGTTTCCCGAGGTTATAAATACCTCCCTTAATCCTCATTAAGGGAGAGAACGCAGATTACACACATTAAACACTCTCACCTAGAGAGACCCAATCACTTTAATTTCCGCATTAATTACTCCTCAATCAAGTACTAACTTGACCGTCGGAGGCGGATCTCCAATCATCCGGAGCATCCGTTTGTTTTGCAGGTACAGGTGTCCGGTTCCAGTCTCGGAATTGTAACTCTCCCGCAGGACATCAGAAAACCCCGAAACATTTTGGCGCCGTCTGTGGGGAGAGTACTTCTGAGATGGAATCCACGTCTGTACCGACTCCTGAAGAGAGGCGTCCCCTAGACGACCCTCAAGTTCAGTCGGACCACGATACTGAGAATGAATTTGAAGTTGAAGCTCACACAGCTTCAGACGGGACCCTAAGGGCCCGACGTACCCGTCATACCGAAAGGAGGGAACGGGAACATCTTCAAACTGGAAGCGAGCCAGCAGGCGCACCGCCTGTTCGGCAGCAACCGACTGATGGGTCTGCTCCCATCACAAGGAACGAACTCATGACCTTCATGAGGGACTTCAAGGGAGAAATTCAAGAGTTGATCAACAAGAAGCCGCCTGCTCTGGACAAGGAGCAGTCGGCTAAGAAACCCTCCACTTCACGGAAGAGGAAGCCAGTTCAAGGGCGAGAGGCGACCCCTCATCCTAAATCTAGGAAGTGGGAGCCACCTGCCCTTGATTTCACAAAATACCGTTTTCCTACTCCAGGAAATAGGAAACCTGTTCGTCATATTCAGGCGGACGGGTCGAGGAAAACATACACAGACGCTCGGCTACTGCTAGAGAAGAAGAAGAGTGACCGATTGTCAGAGTCGGCCTCTACTTCAAACTTCCAAGACAGTCTGCGAAATACCTCGATGAGGCATACTTAGTCGTATCATGAGAGTCAGTCAGGCGGCACCTCCCGTCAGTCCGGCTTTCATAGCGACCAGGCGGTACCAAACTTACCGTTTGTACCGCAACAACAGTATTTTTTACAGCCACCTCCGTTTGGTGGACATGCAGCAAAAAATGTCCAACCTATGGACTGGCAGCTATAGTTGCTTAGACTTGGTGAACAGCCGTCGGCCTTCTCCAAGGAAATTACTGAAGCCGCTCAGCCGGCCAAAGTGAAAAATGTATTAGTAGGCGCCTATGACGGCACTACTAACCCAGAAGACCATCTGATGGCATTCACCAACCTGATGTACCTTCAAGGGTTGGATGATCCCACTTGGTGCAAGTGTTTCCCAGCGACTCTCAAAGGAATCGCACAACAATGGTTCGGCAACCTGCCGACTGGTTGTGTAAATAATTTCAAGACGCTTGCTTACTTATTCACCTCCAACTTCGCCATGAACATCCCTGCGAAGAAGACGACCCTTGATTTAGGAACAATTCAGCAGGGCGAGAAGGAGGGGCTTCGTTCTTACATCAGGCGATTTAACCTGATGAGACTACAGATTCAAGGGTTACCGGATGAAGTAGCCTATACTGACTTTTTCAGAGGTCTCAAAGACGGGTCGACCTTCAAATTTGATTTGGTCCGAAAGAGGGTGGCGACTCTTCAAGAGGCCTTGATTGAAGCGGAAGCCTATATACAGGCGACTGATCTTTGTAGTACGGTAAAACAGTCAGACGGGAAAAGGTCCGACAAAAGAGAAGGACGACAGAAGCAGTCGTCAAACAAAGACGAGAAGAGAAAAGAGGTCTGGGCAACTGATTCCTCTAAACAGCCGTCCCAGAAGAAGAAAAAAGAATTCAAACCATACTCCCCAAAGTATGTGTTTAACAAGGATAGTCAATTTATCCTAAAGGAAATCAAGGGACGGATCTCAATTGAGAAGCCGGTCCCCATGAAGGGTTCTGCAAACAATCGGAACCAAGAAAAATTCTGTGATTATCATGAAGATGTTGGTCATCACACCAATGAATGCATCACTCTCATGCGGTATCTGGACCGCCTGGCTGAGCAAGGTGATTTTGACACTTATGTCAAGAAATCTACGGGGAACACTTCCTCAAAAAAGCAGTCGACCAAAAAGAATCAACAGGCCGACAGCTCCGA